CTTCCACTCCTTACTCTATCTTATCTTATGATGTTTTGCTAGAAATATTACATATACATACTATTAAATAATATAAACACTAAAAAAAATAAGTAAAGTAAGAAACTCATTTGTTTTTTTTAAAGAAAATATATTTCTCTATCAAAATCCCCAAATTTTAACAAAATTTATATTTTGAACATATAATTTCAACCCAAAAGCACTTACTTCATGATACTATAATGTAGACCCGCAAATTCATAGTTGGAGCCGTGACTAGCTAGCTTCTCGTTAGCATCCTATACAGTGGTGGATTATATTCAAAATCTTTACTCAGGGTTCGGAAAATAAAAATATAGCGTCTTACTCCTATATATAGCTATTCTTTCTGTCATCAATCTTTCATCAACTAGCTACTTCTAAATCTTCTTCTCCAACAATGGCGCCACTACTTTTCTTTGCCTTTTTCCTTCTTATTGCTTCTGCTGTATGTCTTTTTGCTCACTTGTTCGTTTCTCAACTATAATGCATCATACATTTTAGATCTTTGCCTTTAGTATGCTTAGATTAAGTTAAGTTAATCACATAAAATATGAATTTTATCGGACACTTTTCGTTATACATGCTAGCATAATGAGCATTTACATTAGTTTGTTCCTAATCAAATGAAGTTCTATATTGTAGCATTCTTAGACTTAATTGTTGTTGTCTTAGAAAATCACTTTCTGAAATAATAACTATTAGTTGAGTGATCATCTCAGAAATTAACTGATCAATTGTTATTATGATAAACAACTTTTATCTAGTATAAACAACTTATATTTATGAGTTGCTAAGATTCTTTCATATGTACCCAAGAATAGTTCACCAACGTATGCTAACTCATTGAACTTTTTTCTTCCTTTTTTTTCTGTTTCTTGACAGAACGGAGCTGCTCCCGGTGCTCCTGGTCCTTTCCCACCCGTCAATGTATCCTCTCCAACACCTCCGGTCCCCATGCCACCAACAACTCCATACCCACCACCCATCCGATTGATCACCCCGCCTCCTCCACCACCAGTTAAGTTACCATCCCCACCTCCGGCAGTCAAGCTACCGCCACCTCCACCATCACCACCACTCCCTACTCCCCCCGTTTCACCACCAAAGACCACAGCAGGTATAACACACTTTTACCAATAGTACTTTTAATAAGTTCTATCTTTTTTTTTACATGATCTATTTATCTCCCGTTTCTTGTATCTAGTATTTAGATAAATTTGAATCTCTATCTAGAATTAAAAAAGAAATATGACGGACGCCTTATGCAATGAAAATGGACAATAGTATCAGTCTTACTTCTTCCAATAAAAAACACGAAATTGAAAAAAAAGAAAGACGGGAATCTATACATTGATTTACAAGTTTTTTTTAAACTGCGTGCATCAAAAGAAGCGTGTATGGTTTCTAAGGTTGATAGGGAGATTCCCAATCAACTTATTGGTGTTATATGGTATATGTCAAGATCGAGAATGAGACCAAAGATCTACTATATGTCAAATTCTTAATTTATCTAAAACAACTATTTGCAGATTGCATTCCCCTATGCTCTGTGAGATGCAAATTGCATTCAAGGAAGAACGTATGCCTAAGAGCGTGCACTACTTGCTGTTTAAGATGCAAATGTGTTCCACCAGGCCAATATGGAAACAGAGAGAAATGTGGCAAATGCTATGCTAATATGACCACTCGCGGAGGCAGACTAAAGTGCCCATGAAAATGGTTTATACAGCAGGGAACTGTCACTTGATCAACTAGTTAACTTGTGCTTTCTCAATATATTTTGATATTTTCACGTTCAAACAGATCCGGAAACCTGTCTATCTACGCTACATCCGTAGATACCATTTTTTCTCCAACTGTTTGAGCTTAAACCATATCATTAAGAGTAATTTTTTATTTTGTATGTGTGTGTCTGCACGTTTTTTTAAGTAATGAAAGGGAACTATTCTCATGTTATTCTTGCAGTATTTGTGTTCTTATTAGAAATTTATCTGGAGCATAAGTCTTGTTTCATTTGCTTAAGAGCATTTATGTGATTTGCATTCTGAATGAGTGGAATCACAGTACTAGGGTTGTTTGGCAGGTAGTTTAGAGGGTAGAGGAGCTATGCTTGATGGGGGTGCAGTGGAGTGTTTCGTAGGTATGTTGAGAAGGGGGGAAGAGTTTGATACAGAGTCGATTCGCGAGAGTTGTGTTAGTGTATTATATGGATTAAGTCATGGTGGACTTAGGTTTAAAGGGTTGGGAAAGGAGGCTGTTGCAGACGGGTTGTTTCGACCCGTCTTAGGACCGGTTCTCACCATGCTTAACAGTGACTGAACCGCGCCAAGTTTAACCAACTTAGCGCGGTTACTCTGAACCATAGAAAGGTGAAACAGAGCTAAAGCAGAATCATGCCGAGTCCGTTCTGAATCAGAACGGAGAGAGTGGGTAGGGATAAGGGACCATCCCCAGACTCCTCAGAACTCGTAGATACGTCACGATTCAACTGTGTCACAGACTCAATAAACCGATTCATGACATCAGAATTACCATTACTTTGGATCTGTTGACGAAACTTTTGTGGGTTTTGGGTAGCCATTAATGTACGGACGAGATTTTGAGCAGAGATGAAATCAATGGGTTGAGGAGGGTGGATATGTGAAGAAGAGCACCAATTGATAATGGTAGATTTAAGGGCTCTATTAGGGATGATAGTAGAGAAATTGGGCAGAGAAGCATCAAGCAAGATGGGTGTAAAACAAAGGGATTTGCAGGCAAGAACACAGTTACGTTCGAAGGTATGACCAGAAGAGACAATCATAGGGTCAGCCATGAGAGAGACCCAGAAATTGGACAGATGAATTCGATAGGAATAGGTGGAGATTTGTGGAAGGAGATTCTCTATCTTTGCTTGCCAGTCCCCATTGTTGTTGCAGAAGAAATTTTCTGTTAGGTAATATGCGTGAAGAGAGAAAAAAACATGTCCGGCAACCACCTTGTAGTCCGACTAAATTTGAATTAGCTTGTAGTTTGACGTAAAGTACCACATTAAGAGTAAAATGCTCCCTAACAAAAATGACTCCGTACTCGAATTCCATACTCGAATTACTCGAACTCCATACTCGAATTTGTACCAAGGTGACCTGGACTCGAACTCGAGACTTCTTGATTAAGGTGATGAGTCAAGTTGTTAATCATACATGATACAACTAATAATTTCAATTCTTATTTCTTCACCCTTTAACTTTAATACGTCCTCATTTAAAAAATAATGACTTTCTTTTAATTTGTTTTAAAAAGAATTGATCCTTTTTCATTTTTAGCAACACTTTAATTTTAACTTTTCACATAACATATTTAAGGCAGACGATTAAAAGAAATTTTATTACATTTGACATAATATTAATTAAGAATTATATGATTGAAGTATAGAACAACTCTAAAATGAATTGTGCTTAAATAGAAGCAATGTCGTTTAGAATACGTGTGCACTTACATTCCAGAATATTGAAGGACCTAGTCTTATAACATAATTTATGTATTAGGAGTTTATCTTTGAGTTGTAACGTTGATGTAATCTTAATTTAATAATTTATTAACTAAATTAGGAGTGTTGTCTTCAAATTGGGATAACTTGAAGACTTGGGAACACATACCTTGGGAGATTTATGTTGAAGTTTAGGAATTAGAGTAAATTCCTAGGGTTTGCAAGAGTTGTAATCTTAATTCATAACTTGAAGTAGGTTCGAGGATCTGGTTGATTATTGACGTTTAGGAATTAGAGTTAATTTCTTAGGTTATATAGTTTGTAATTTTAAACTATTGAAGCTCAGGGATTTCGTGAAATTAGAGTTAAATATATAGAATACAAGTCGTGTATTTTACACCTTTTGAGCCGTATGTTTTCCACATAAAATATTGTGTTCTTTACTTATTGATCTTACTTCTTTGAAACATATTAGAGAACTTGTTTTTTAGGCAAAAAAAAAATTAAATTAAGTGACTAAATTTAAGATAATGTAGCAAATCAATTTTCTTAAACTACAGATAAATTTGTGATATTAAATTCTAAAGTTGATGTAAAAGGAGCTACAAACTCTACCAATGAGTCTTCAAGAGCAAACGTAGTACCCATCATTATTCCCTTCTTTACATGACACTAACTTAATTCCAAAGTTTCTTTCTTCCTTTTCTTGTCTGCACTCCACTTTGACACATAAACAATATATATATATATATTCTGGTTTATTTAATCATTATTTGAATTTTTCGGGCTTATTTAATCATTATGTTGAAGTTGGTTGGTCGAATTAATTCGGAAGTATTTATGCCTTTTATCACAAGTTTTTTTTATTTCAAGGCTCGATCTTGAGATTTAGTATGGGAAGATTTTAATTTAACCATCTCATAGTTTAACCATATGGGATTGTCACGCCCCTAGCTTAACTAATAGCGGATGACTTAAAACATTAATACAAAGATCCAATGCATCTTTACTCTACTGTCTAAAAGATAACTTGGAACGTTTAAAGATAAAACATGCAACTCAGTCAAAGTGGCAACTCAAGTCTTAACATAAGAAATAACAATGTAACGACAAATGAACTACTAACAGTCTATGAAGCCTCTAACAATTGAGATGGACGTCGGGACAAAACCCACGACATCCTAATGAACTAACTATAAAGCAATAAAAAAGGGTCCTCCGAAAGAAAGGAGGCTCACCAACTGACTCTTAGTGCTCAACTGGATCAACGAGGTGTTGGATGTTGATCCTGATTACCTGTATTTGCATCATAAAACGATGCAGGCCAAATGACATCTTGAATGTACGAGCATGCGAGGGGAAAACTAAACACGACATAAGCTTGAAAGGAATTTGAAAAGAACACTTACCTTGGTTTTACTCAATTCATGGATACTCAACTCAAATGCAAAGTAAAACAACAATAAAGGTTCAGTTTATACAAAGCATTTAAAACAGTAGATGACAACTCAATGTGTTATAGAAATACAATAACAACTCAGTGTACATATAAAGTAATATAATATTGTGGGAGTTTCTCTAACCGACAACCATCACTATGAGCTAATGTGATGATACATCATCTCACCCACATTGCCAGAACTGTCTTATAACTTGCCGTGATACAAAACGCCTCAACTAAGTGGATCCACTAGTCTATGCTAAAAAACACTAAGGAATCATCTAAAAAGTATGACCATTTTTACCCATGATGGCTACATGGTTTATGGAGACTTGAGTTATTGTGAACTCGTCTCCATATCGGTGCTCAATACTACTCCCAAAATATACTCAACTCATATGTTTAAAAACAAAACTCTTTCTGTGGTTTGAGATAATTACTCAAAACCTAGCTCAAAGGCACTCTTGGAAATTAGTGTTTCCTCTCTTGTTTAAATGTGAAAACATTTACTCTTTTGGGAATACATAGTCCCGACATACTCTTTTGAAGAAAAGAACTTTGATCTTTACTCTTTATTCAACTCAAAACTCAAGTCGTAAAACAAAGTTAAAAAGTTTGCAAAAGACTTTTGAAATGACTCTAAGAAATCTCTAGACTTGGCTCTTAACTTTCCTTGAATTTGAATGTATGGGTTCAAGGATTGTGATTTGTGATAGGAAAGGTCGCATGATGTTTAGGAATGTTTTTAAATAGCTAAACAAGAGAACGTTAAAGAAGTCACTGCTTGGAAACAAGTCCGCGACACGGAGATGCATTTAATTATTTGGTCGCGAAATAAATTTTGAGGCAGAACGGTCCGTGACCGCTCCGCAATGCGGGAGAGAATTTTCCAATCCTGAGGAACAGGTCCGCGTCGCGGACCTGGTACCTATATTTGCCCGACTTTTTCCTTCTTCATTTTCCAGCTCCAATTCGCCTAAATTTGGTTCTTTTTCTCAATATCTCTTTAGATTCAGGTACTCAAAACATATACACAAGAATATAACTCAAAGTAACTCTAATAATAGACATTAAACTCTCAAGAACTCCTCAATCTCTACCCAAATTCAAGAACGAAAGTAATTCATGAACACCCATCAAGAACATTTAAACTTCCAATCTTTTTAGGATGAATTCACGCTGAAATAAACATGTTTAGCACATGGGTGAACGAACCCAACGTTATGAAAGTATCACATACCTCGTAGGATCAAATCCTTGACGAAATCTGCAATCAATTCCTTACAAAGACGACGACATCTTGATTTTCCTCTTTTCTTCTCTCTTGAGTTCTTTTCTCTAAAGCCCTAGCGTGAATTTTCAATTGTGCAAACTGAACCAATTCAATTTTGACCCTAATTAATTCACTAAAAACGAATTAAATCAAGTGGGTATGGAAAAGACCAAAATACCCTTTAAAAATTCGGTTTTGACTTTCCTTATCTAGTCAGCCCAATTTTGAATGGCCATATCTCCCTCATATGAACTCAGAATTGTGCAAACTTGGTGGTGTTAGAAAGATAATTCAAAGATCTTTCCTATGGTATCTTGTAGCACACCTAACTCATCTTGTTCTAGGAGTTATTATCGTTTGAAGTTGACCAAACACTCATACTTATATAACAAATTTTCCAGATTTTCATTCTTTCCAAAAATGACTCATTCTAATTCTAGGTCTTTCACTTAGCGAGATATTACAATATCTCCCCCTTGGCAACATTCGTCCTTGAATGAGATTAGTCCTGGTAAGCTAAGGGTGTAACATCAAATATTCAGTTCAAACACCCAACAATCAAATCTAACATAGTAAGCATATCAATTAAAGAGTACTAAGAAGAGAATTAGTACCTTGATCTGGAATTTCTTCGGGATCAAAGAGATGTGGATATCTATTCTTCATTTCCTCTTCAGCCTCCCATGTAGCTTCCTTAACAAACTGATTTCTCCAAAGAACTTTGACTGATGCTACTTTCTTGGCCCTCAACTTGCGAACCTAACGGTCTAGAATCTG